AGTGCATAGTGACATTAAAAGGGTGGGCGTGGGGCTCAGTTGGGATAGAAGATAAGAGCAGAGCTGATAAGGCCAGAGACAGAGGCAGATGAGGGAAGCCTTCCATGGCCATACTGCTCTCGTGCCGGTGAGGAGATCAATCTCTAAAGCTCAAATGCGCGTGCCTTTGAACTTCTTTCTGCCGTCTATATTTTCCCCTCATCTTTTCCACAAACCTGTCACTCCGGGGTTTGATATCATTGTTGGATGGTGGTGTAATACCCAAACCTAGTGCAGTTTGCGCCTCTCTAGCAGCAATATTTGAGCCACTGAGCTCGTGTCTGGATGGGTTTGAGTCATCCTTCAGGGCAGCGATAATCATTTCAAGTGATCCTTAAAGCTTGAAACAGTCTAAATCATTACATAGTCCAAACAATCCCGCTGACCCAAAATTTCCATAAAACCTTCCTGAGAAAGAACAATAAATAAAACAATTCAGCTGATATCAATTTTCAAACCACAGGATAGAAATTTCGGTCTCCTAAGACTCAACTTAAATACAGCAGTATTTGCACAACTGAACGTGTAATCCTGAATGGCGTGCTATAAGCTTCATTTCTTTCACCCACACACCTACTGGGCCTCCTGGCCAAGCTGGAACAGACCTTGAGAAATCAAAATGGACACTTGACACCATGAATGGTGTTAGTGAGCTGGGAGGGTTTTCCAGAGTAAAATAAACGATGTCACTAAACAAACAAACCCCATACAGCCTCAAAGGGCGAGGTCCCCTGCAGTATCAGATCACCGAGGCGGTCTGCGCTTTCTCTCACTGTTTGAAGCACAAGTTTAAGGTTAATCTCTCCACCACAAAACATGTGTGTAGCAAAACCCTAAAGGGCCACTTGAATGAGATCCTGTCACTCATTCAACACGACTAACATAAACACTTAGTAGCCCGCTTCACACACACAGGCATAGCGGCACAGGGAAGAGAGCTAGCTGAAGCTGGTAAGGAAATTAAACGTCTTAAATGAGAGTGGGTTCTTGAGAGCACAGGCTCAGAATGCCATAAATGCCAAAGATGTGTTAAGGTTCCCTGGTGGTGGCGGTCATGGCGTCTCCTGGCCTCAATGATAGCCATTAGTGAGGGACTGCAAGACAGATGATTAGCTCAGCTACCGCTAACGAGCCGTCACACCTCGGGCTGTTTTAGTTCACCCTCTCAGCTCGTTAGCATCACTAAACAGCCACTTAACCCCAGAAGGGGCAGGAGGGACCTGCCTCCCCTCTTTACAAGCCAGACCCAAACACTCCAGTCTCCTCCTCGTTAACAGAACCTCCACATCAAATTAAATAAGGAGACCAGTTTGAAAGAAAAAAATGGACCACTGATGAGAAACAGGTCTTGCGATCATGCAGTATATAGGCCAGATCCCGCCTGGACTGAGGGGTTAAAGTATGCTGTGCCCATGCCTGTGCTCCTCTTTTGGTGCAACCACAAAAACCATCAGCTGCTGACCACCCACATGCATTTCCTCAAAACGCCTGAAGGGAGTAACTCTGCTGAATTTCTGGCTGAAACACACACAGATTTAGAAAGTAGGACTGTTTTGAGTGACATTCTTGATTTGTGAGTCTGTCCATCTATCAAGGGAGAGAGAGAACAGAAATATCCAATATGCATGATATTCATTGTCAGGGCACAATTTTTGTCAACAGACAGTGAAATATAAACATGTTAAAGCGCCATCAGCTGCCACCAACCATGGCTTTGACATGCTTGCTGTGGGCCTGCTTCACTAATGTGACAGTTAGAAACACCAAACAGCACTCCAGCCTCCCTCTGGGGATGACGGCTCAACGGTGGGTGGCCCATTTTCCCGCACATTTAATTCACAGCGTCTGAGGGTAAGTCAGTGGGGACTATTTATTGGGAGCTTATGTTATGATCCTCCACTTATCCTTTAATGTTAGTGAGTTAGAGGCCTTGAGGGGAAACATTTCAGCAGCTTTCTAGGGAAAGATAAAAATGTGGCACATTCATTCAAGAGCCAGCGCAGATTTGATGTTGGAAAGTGACTAAACGGTGTGATGGTGAATTAGCGCCTAACTCTTCTAACACTTCACTGAAGCAGATAACCATCAATCACTGCTGTAAAGACACCTCTGTCCAAAGGCTGATAAAAGCAGCAGTCAGCACCCTATCCATCACACACTGTAGTCCTGCATCAATGAGCTACAGTGAGCAGTTTGTGTGGTGTGCTCTCTTCACAGTTGCACTGAGATACATGTAGCTAGACTGTGTTCAGTTTGCCAGCTTTCCGTCAATCCATCACTTCTGGATCCAACTTCAGTTCGTAACCGTAAGAATGATTCATTATTGCACACTGAGGTGAGACTGTTAAAGTGAAAAGCCACAGAATAGATCCATACAGTCCATATGAACTGAATTTAACTTTAATTTATGCGCAAAGAGAACTGGCTCTAAAGCTATTGCAAATCGCAGGCCACACTTTCCCTATTAAAATCACACTACTACATCTACTTTGTTATCTTTGATTTACCCCACTCATAAACAAGCACTTTAGACAGGCTCACATGGTCAGTGGCGTGTGCCTAGAGGCACAGGCTATTGGAGGCTGGCCATAGTTCAGTATTTGGCTGCAGTGTATTTAAAAAAAAGGCCTGGAAATCATTCCAGGCTGCCAAAGGGATAGCACTCCCACCACCGTTACCGCTATTAGCTGTCTTCATTTGCCTGAGAGGTTAAATGTAGCATGGCAGAGCACTTGTATAACAATGCGGTGGGCTCCATGTATATCGTTGCGGTCAGTTCAGCCAATTGGATTGGGTTTAGTGGAACAGCTTAGCAAGGCCGAGAAGAGATATTTAGATGGAGGTTCGTAAGAAAGCAAACATACTGGAAGGGGGATAGAGAGAGGGGGGGGGGAGAGAGACTGACACTTTTCAGGTTTTCAAATTTAATCACTCACCAGGCCAATAAATTGTGACTGAACTCCATAAGGGCCACTTTTTGCTGACCTGCCACCAACATACATCCACTGCTAGTGAAAATTTTTACCAGAACTGCCAGGTTTACTCAGTGGAGACTGCACTGATATCAGTCTGATATCAGGAAAGGCTGCGACAGAACATCAGTGGTTTCTATCCGGACTCATACCTGTACTATATACAAATATGACAACAGCAAATTAAAAAAGATCTCAGTCATAGACAAACTGGATCATGCTGAGATGATGAGGAGAATGTATTATGATTTTAAGAAACTTTCCCAAGCTATTAAGTCTCAAACTCAAGCTTAGTAAGGTTAAATCTCCTGTTTCTTTAAGTACCTGTTGATATTAACTAAAAGCATTGTCAACTCAGACACAGCGGGTTAGTCTCCCAGACAGATACTAACCCTAATCCTAGACATAATTTTCTTTTTAGTGTAGAATGCTGTGCAGTCCAGGATTAGACTTAATCCCTGGTTGGATAACCATCCCAACACTAATTATTGCGTTAAACTTTGGTTCACATTTGCTGTTAAAGTGTGAAGAGTCAACTGAATAGCCCGCATGACTAAATATAGCACACACATGTCTTGCCTGCCAAAGTCAATGCCAGTTTGAAAATACACTGTGAGTTAAGCTGAATGGGCACATTGCCTTTTTCCTGCCATAGTTAATACTAGTAGGGCAAATTCAGATAAAGTGAGACATGCGGTAAAGTGGGACACTTAAGCTTTGTGGTCCTATACTTTTCTTTTGTCAGTCTTAGATACTGCTGCATGTGTGCTGAATGTGAATAAAGGTTTTTGACTGATGTGGCATCATCACTGTGGGCTTGGCTGCTTTTAAATCAAGTGCTTCAAAAAGCTCATTCTAAGTATCCTAGCATAAATACTTAAAAGCATGTAAATGCTTTTAAAAATGAGTATGTGCTGACAGTGATTTGTGATACTAAAACACATGCACAATCTTTTATCTGATTTTAAGAGCATGTTGAGCTGTTGGTATTTTTTTTTTAAATAGACACGGCACAAAAAGACTGATACCAGTACTGATCCAATATTATTTCTATGCTTTAAACTGAGCTATTTTTAAGTAAACTACCACTGAACTACCCCACAGGACATAATACACAGCTAACAGCATCACAACACACAATGTGAGTGTGTGCTTTTTCAGGATATATTTGCTACAGGACTGGATCAGATTCATTCTTTTTTACCCTCAAAATCTGATCCATTATTTTCTACTGATATTGACCCGATACCTATACCCATCATACCAACATGCCATCACTAATTTTAAATGTGGGATACAGATTTCTATCTACTTTAGCTCTCCAACCGTCCCACTCAAGCTGACCTGCATTATACAGATGCAACACTTGGCTGGAAAACAAATAGCAGCTCATTTTAGTTGAGGGTGAGCAGATCTAATAAACTATTCTGACTGTACCTGAATGAGAACCTTGTTTCTTTCCTCAAGTTAACACCAGTGTAAGAACACACCAAACACCTCTAAAAATGGCACATACACTAAATGTCCAAAAGTACCCAGACATCTAGACTTCTAATTAGTGAATTCAGCTACTTTAAAGTGCACCCATTGCTAATTGCACTTAGTATGATCTTCATAGAAAAGCACTGCTACCCTCCATGAGACCCTCTGGAGCAGCAGCACATGAACTGTTCTCTGGAGTGATGGGGCTCCATCCAACACCTTTAGGATGAGTTGAAGTGGAGTTTGTTATCCAGAACTGATCATCCAACACCTGTACCTGACCTCACTAACGCTCCTGTGGCTGAATTCAGTCAAATCCTCACAGCCATGTTCCAACACCTATTGTAAAGCCTTCCCAGAAGAGTAGAGGCTGTTAAGGCAGCAAACGAGGACAAACTTTCTATTAAGAGCCCTAATTTCAGAAGAAACGCTGCATAAACGGGTGTCTACAGACTTTTGGACATGTAGCTAGCCAAGCTAGAGTCAGCACAGAAACAGTTTGTTTACCTGAAGGCGGACGTTGCCTTTCCTGGCCGCTCCACTGTGAGCGACCCCTGAGCGGTTGGTGGCCGCTGTGGGCGACTCGCCGAGCGGCGGGGATTTGATGGAGTTTTCGGCGTCTCGCGACGCCCCGTGCCGCGCGGTTGCTAAGGAGTTCCCGCCTTTGGCGCCCAGCGACGCTACTGTTGCTAGGAGCAACGTTACCATCCAGCAGCAGCAGAAGTTCCGAGTCACTGCGAGCATCCTCGGTGAGAGAAAAGTCTTCTGTTTACACTAAAATATGGTGTGTGCTTAGTTGGAGACACCAACCCAGAGCTTCTAACAGAGCTGCGTTTTGAGAGTGAGGGGCTTAGAACCCTCTAACAGAGCTGCGTTTTGAGAACAGGGGGGCTTAAAACCCTAAACTCCGTTTAACAATGTCCAAAACAAGTGAGGCGGCTCGGTGAGGCCAAAACTCAGTGTGAGACATTTATGTGCGCGGTAAGAAAAGAATTGCTAAAAATCCTACAGGGCTAGCGTAATCTCAGAGAAAAATGGACAAAACGTAAAAAAGAAGCCGATTAAATGTCCCCAGTCTCTGGCTGGTAATGTCTCCCTGTGTGTGTCTTTCTCTGTGGAAAAGCCTGCTGGCATTTTGAGGATGCAGGTCGGTCTCTTTTATATCATCCTCTTCCTCCGCCCCGTTTGTGAACAGGGTGACGGCGCGCGGCGTTGCTCTATTTTTTTTGCCTCCACGTGTGTTCGAGAAGCCCCGCCCCCCGGCGCTACGATAGGCTCGCAGCTCATCCTCACGCGCGGTTCATTGGCAAAAATAATGCCCACACCAGTGACGTCAGCGAACGAGAACGCACTTGATGCACAAGAAACGGCTCATCAGATAAACCTAAAAATGACTTTATGTAGTAACAAGCAGTTGAACTAGTTTTATCCAACTAACATTGACATTGATTGAAATAGTCGTTTACTCAAAGTGTTTATTTAGATTGAATAAAATTAGTTAATTTACTTGATACCATATAAAATATTTTTTAGGTAGACCATCTATTTTTACGGTGCAGATTTGATGCGGTTTAGTTATGTTGAAAGAACAGTAAATAATACTAGGGTGCTCAAACCTTTTGTCTTGGGGGGGGAGCAAAGGGCAGTGTTTGTGATGGACTGAGGGTCAAAAATCAAACTGGTACAGACATAAGAAAGAAGGTAGGTTCCAAACTGAATTCTGTAACATGTACATATAAAATGTATAACACTACAATATATGTTGCTGTTAAAATACTTGAAATAATACTAAATTTAACAAGTATGAAAATATGTTTGGTGGGGGTGGTGTTTTAACTTTCTGGACGTCCAAATCAAACATCCGTAGGGGCTACACTTTGGGCAGCTCTGTAAAATGTGTAAAAGAGCATGTGCTTTGTGATAATATGAATCAAAATAATATATATTGTGGCACTGGCTCAGAAAAGGAACCAGGGAATGCCATTTTTTCTGCTCAAGGAAATTATTGCTTTTATTGAACAAAGCACAAAGGGCCACTGAATTACAGCGCAGCGAGAATAGCAGGAAAGGTCACCTCTAACTGAACAACATCTACTGACAGTAAACATTAAACCCACACTAAATAACCCTCAGCAGAACACAGTAAAACACAGCCAACACATAAAAACATCTTAAACAACAACATTGACATCAACTTGCCAGGCCCCTAAGGTCCTCTTGAAACACAGAGTTTTCAATATAAGTTTATAGGCTGTATTCCGCATACACTACAACGGTCAAAAGTTTGGGATCGCTGTTCAAACGTTCGGAAGCAATGTTTTCAATATAACAAAACCTCTTAACACAGAGATGTGCATAAAATGATTCTAATATGCTCGTCCTGTACACCTTCAGAGCTTTCAGATAATTAGTAGTACACTAGGAAGCTGTACATTAAAATGTTAGATGTGTCCAGAATGATAAACAAAGCTGTAGATGATTGTAAAATGGCATAGAAAGCTGTAGAATATTGAGAATTAAGCTTTCATAGATTTAATATCCATAATTCATTATATTTCAAGAATATAGATAAAATCTCAGGGCAGATAACTTGACAAAATATCATTTCATTCATTGCATTAATTAATGTAAACAAATAATTGTGGTATATTGTTTACTATTTAATACCTTTTTTTCACAGAATTCTTGAAATATTGAATAAAACACCTACAAATACATTGTTATGCTGTATAAGTTATTATTGTATATAAAATAACAAAAATATTTAATGCAAATGATTACAAACTTTTGAACAATAGTGTACACGTTTTTAAACATGTGAGAGAGCACATGGATTATGATAACAAGGCCCAATCCCATTTCACCCCTTGCCCCTACCACTTAGCCCTTAGCCCTCTGTTTTGCGCGTTCACGTCTAGGGTAAGGGTGTCCCAATTTTAGTTGAGATAGAGGGGTACGGCGAAGTGTTAGGGCTACATGGCCCTCCAAACGGAGATTTTTCAGAGGCTCACTCCAAACAGAGTGTTATGAAAAAAAAGAATAACCGGCAAGATGGCTGCGCGAGCGACCAAAGAAACCCACAAATGTGAGAATTTTCTCCGTTAAAAAATACGATAACTATTGTATTATCTTAGTTTAATGTCGTTTCAATGTGTTATGGTCGTTTTCTTCATAACAAGCACAAAAAAAATCGCTAATAGCATGCTAATTTCTCAGTAGCTAGCTAACTTTCCCATTCCACCTTAAATAGCCTGGCAGTATTGACGCCAGAAGCGCCAGAATGTAACTGCTGCACTATTTAAGGTGGAACGGGAAAATTCGAACAAGAAGCCTGCGAATAGATGACTTCAGCTAAATGTAACTAAAGCCCAGCAGCGAGGTTGCTGAACTTCTCCCTTCTCTGCTATCACTGCCGCCTACAGAACAGCGCTAGTAGGCTGTTAATGAAGCGATGTTTTTTTTTTTTAATTTTAGGGTTGTCCCATTTCGTAGGCCAAGTTTTTAACCATTACCCCTTGTAACTCAGTTCCAAGGGGTTAGGGTGACACTCGAAAACAAGGGGTAGGGGTAAAAAGAAGAAATGGGATTGGGCCTAAGAACCGTCTTTATGTATTAGACAAAAATTCTGCAGAATCACTACAGTACGTGACGTTGAATAATTTTTCTGCTGTATCAAAATAGCTTGAAGAGATGCATATGGTTTTATATGAAGTTTAGTTTTTTTCGCTTCTAAGGCTAAGTAGGTTTTGGCATATCGTATACAAAGTGAAAATCTTTTGTAATAACAGCCAAACACAAAGTCAGTCCCAAACGCCAACAGAGATTGGCCAAAGGGGAAAAAAATTCTTCAAGTGAAACACTACCCTAGTGACAATTCCTTTATATTTGTGCAGTCTGAATGAAAAGCAGATTGTGGAAAAACAGCAAACAACAGCCCTCAAATATGACGGTGTAATAAGAATATGATTTGCCTCATCTATTTGTTGCCAGTGTCCAGCTGTTGTTTAGAGGAGGAATTACTGGAGAAACGGTTGAAAAGCTCCTGGGGAGAGGCAGAAAATGACTCTGAGGAAAGAAAAGGAACTTCATTACAAACAACTGACATGTGAATTCAACTTCAGAGAGGTAGGGGGTCATTGATGTGAGACGTTATTATAGCACCAACTGAATCTGGAGATGAATTCTTATGTGTATGTCCTGGCTTGAAATCTAAGACTGAAGTCTCAGGAGCGTCCCGACAGCCACATGGTTTTGGATAAAATCTTGCGCAGTACAAAGCTCTTGGACGACTCAGCCATAGAGTTTGTGGTTTCGAGATGTGTTTTTGTACATTTATATGATAAAGGAATCCTGGGGGACAGCGGAGGGCTTGATTTGAAGCAGGGTGCAAGGGGATGTCATGCTCCCGGTCATAAACAGACAAAAAATATCCCCTTTGTAAAAACGACCAGTCTCTCTTGACATCCCCTTTGGATTACTGGCATTATTACTTAAGATATCTACTTACTTATTAATTATAATTGCTTATTACTTAAGGTATCTGCTATAAAAACTACTACTAAATTCCATCCAAATTTTATGATTTACATGTCAAGTTGCTTTCAATATATGAAAATGTGTCAAAATCAACCTGAATAGTAAGGCCTGTCACAATCAGGAAATTGTAGATGATATAAATAACTGCAATTAACATTTTGTCTTTTTGTCAACTAGTCTACAATGGCCAGATTAGCTGATTACCTACTTTACTGCATAATTAGTAGCTCCCAACTAACCGCAGGAAGGCTCAAGCTCAAATAAACAAACATTACTCACCATTGCCCTCTACAGGAGCTATAGCAGCAGGCCATGCTATTTTTGTAAGACCTATGAGGTGTCTCTGTAAATTCATTTTAAGCTTTCTTTTATTTTCATGTATTTGCTTCAACTCAGTGGCTGTAAACGTGCTCACATTCACATTTTGTCTGTTGCGATGTTAACATATCACTGTGAAAGGAAAACAATTGTGGTCAGCTTAAAAAAATCACTATCTGCTTAAATAATATGTAAATTTGTGATAGGCCTATTGATAGACAGCTGCAGCTGATAACCCCAAATGGGTTTAAATTCATTGATATTAAAACAGTCTGATTACTGTTGTCAAATAATAAAACCTCTCTAATCACAGTATAAGATGAGTAATATTTCAAAAGGTACCCACCCCACAAAAAAAATAAACCCTCCTTAAAAATGTGTTACAGTTATATGACTGGTTAATCCTGCGGGAAAAGAGCTGCAGTAGATGAATGAAGGCCCACTTAGTAGAAGCTGGCTAAGCTTTGCATGATGATTGGCTTTTCCAGTTTGTTTATTTAGCTAGTGGTAAAGTTTAGACGTGGCCTGCATGTGTTGCAAGATTCAGTTGTCACCCTGAGCTTTTGTACATTATACACACTATAGCCTAGCATAGTTTTCGATTCAAGCTATAAAGCAATACCCAGAGACATATTCACACCAAAGACAACCTGAACCTGATTCCATGACTTTAAAAAGTAACCTGCGTGACTGCATCATATAAAATACCAAGCACTGAACCGTATTCTAATGCCAAGGTTATCTTGGTTATCTCCCTGATCACAGATAAGATCTGCCAGAGACTCACAGAGAAACATTACCCAGGTGACAGCGCTCCACTGGGTTTGCAAGTGATGCCTTAATTACTTTAATTACAGTCATACGTCAAATTCTCTCTTGTCTTTTACGTCAAAACAATGATCTGAGTCAGCTCTTGTTATTCTACATTTTGCTTAATACAAATATACTGTAGGTCAACATTTGCATTTTACCTAGCAGCTTTGAAGGAGAACAAAGCCTCCGTTGAGGCAGTGACACACTGACTCTGCGCAGTTCTCCGCAGTTTCTCTCTCGAACAGGGACAAGCAGTCTCCAACACTAAACAAACAAACACCATGTGTCCGATCTACAGACATCATATGGAAAGCGAGACTACAACTCGTGCGGACGTCTGTGAGGCTGGATTACACCATGCTTTCAAGCCTTTTTAAAAGCCTCCACTGCCGATTCAAAGGCTAGGAACTCGGTTAAGTAATTGTGGTCGCAGCCTTTGATGTAAACCATGT